ACAGTCAAACACATTTCAAAATGTCTGATATTTACTGATTTCCTGTTTGACTCATTTATTTTCTTCACCTTACAGACATTTCTGACGGTCCCATATTGTTGAAACTCTGGCACCCATTATCTAGAGATATTTCTCTGACAATTTGATGTGTATTTTGTTCATCTAGTGTTTTCAAGTGTTGTTTGTCAATTGCAGATAGACGTCCTCTACCACCTTGATCTTTAAGTCTCATATCCCCACTGCGTAACTTCATAAACCAGCGCCATACTGTTATCATAATTAAATCCTTCAGCCATACTCTCTTAATGTTGGCAATATTTTGAAAAGTATTATGATCAAGTGTGCACTCATGAAAAATTAAAAAAACATCTCTTTTTGCTTTTCATGTTCAAGATTTGTGGTATATAATACTTTCAGTTACATTCTGAATGAGATGGATATAATGTTAAGAGGACACTTCCAACATTAGGGATAAGGGATATATTTTTGTGCAACTCTTACAATAATATATTAAAACGCAAAACGTTTATCCTAAAATCAGGCATTATTTTCCGAACATGATACAAAGTTAGGAAATTGTGGAGAGTCATGATCGCCCACCTCCTGAGGGAACATGTAAAACAAGATAAGCTGCTTAAGAATTAAAGAGACTCAAAAGAACTGCTCATTTGTGTTAGCTACCGAATGACCCTGTTTCACACTTATGTCTCTAAGAGATAAATATTTAATCTATTAACTTTTCTTAGCGTATGCAATATTCATGCATCCATTCTTCCAAGTCTTGTCTCTGAGAGAAGCTATTAATGCAGACATTCCTCTACACAATTTAGTCATTTTTCAGCATATAAAGTCGCTTGTTCTGACGCACAAGTTAATCCCTCTTTACCATATAATATTCTGATAGGATTCTGTTCAGTTTATGCTATACTTATTCTTTTAGATGCTACTTCTCTTCAAGACACTGATCATAGCTCGCCACAGCTTCCTCTCCTTTGTAGCGGTAAGCAACATTTGTCTTATCACACTTCCATGGACGCACTGCAATCTGTTTACGCTGATTCATTAGGTGAGTTGCTTGATGTTTCTTTATCCGTCTCTCACCTTCACTATGTCCCATGTGTGGCAAATTCTTCAAGTACCATTTCTTCATTATGTGTCCGAGGAATTTCAACTGTCTTTTTCTGATCCTGAACAAAATTAGTGTGGTAAAATAATCTATATTTATAAAAATATGTCTCTAGTTGTTTCTATGGAAGCCAAATACAATAAAATTACCGAAGAATAAAACAAAAACTCGTTGTGTCTCCTCAGGCTAATGTTCTCAGCTGACATAAAGTGGAAAGACTATATTGAATCCATTGTTAGATCAGCTGCTAAGAAATCGGTTCACGGTGTCGTACGAGACAATTTTTCTCTTCAGAATCGATCTTACATAAGTCTATCATTCGTCCATTCTTAGAATATTGCTGCCACATATAGTCTGGTGCCCCTTGAGCTCTTTGATAAGATCCAAAGAAGAACCTGCAATATTATTGGTACTAATCTGGCAACTCAACTTCAGTCATTTTCCCACCGCCGTAAGGTTTCCTTGGTGTTTTTTTTTCTACAAATGGTAATTGTTCGAATGAGCTTTTTGCGATGTTAGTTAGACTTTTTAAATTTAAGCGTAGTACTAGACTGGCGTTGAGATTTCATCAATTTACAGTTGAGCTGTGGCTGAGATGTAACCGTAAGTTCTATGCCAACAGTTTGTTTTCTTGCACTTGTCGATTGTGGAACTCCCTTTCGGTTCCATGCTTTCCAGCCAAAATTTTTTCAAAAATTTAAATGCAATGTCAATCGCTATCTACTGTCCTCCTGATTACTCTTTCTTCTTCCCGCTCATTATTAATGTTTCTGTTCCTAATTCTTTCACACTTTGTAACCCCTTGCGTCTTAGTAGATTTACTGCTTTGCATGGGGTGGTAAATATAAGCCTATGGGAGCAAACGTTCTTGCAGCTTGCCCTTGGCCTTCAATCAGTGCTGCCGAATTTCGAGTTTTTATCTAGTTTTTTGCTTCAAACACCTCACATAAATTACGAATGATATTCAATTATTAGTTGATGTATTTGAAGATTATAAGCAATAATGGCATCCCAAATTTCCAGGAACCCATTCTATATAGGCAGGCAATTCTGCTCATTTTCTTTTTAATCTGAGAATTGAAACAAATAATTTTATATAGTATCAAAAAGAATTAAACCATTTTGATGATTTAATAGAAAAAAATTATTTATTAAGATATTTCCAGATTGCTATTCTGTACTAATCATATTTCTGTTCAGAAGTATGACGCTTTTTGACTATCAGCTGTGTTATGGTTTCTTAGCCACGGACGAACTGAATTGCTGCAGTCCTGAAGCTAAAATGGAAGACATATCACATTTATGACTAGAAGATTTACCAGATTTTTGACTTCAAGACGATATCTTTTGTCAGAATAAATTATGTTCCTCACAGAAAACCCTCTTTCGATCTCTTCAGAACTTACAGCATTGGTATTAATTATATTTTTAGCTATAATATATCAACTTATAAGATTATATAAGATTATTTTCGGATAATCCAACAGCCTGTTCGCTAAACTTTTATAATTTTAAGAATCGGTTCGTGCGAACTGGAAGGATGCTAGCACCGGATATAACCACTTTTGAATACTGTCCCGATGTTGTACGGTTCTTCTGAATCATTGCTATCATATTTATGATGAAAGGTTGGTAGGTTTTCGACAATTTCATTCAGCCCTTTATATTCCGGCTGAAGCTGATGTTATGCTGAGTCTGAACGGTATTCCTTGTGCTAATCATCTTCTTTTCATTCTCTTTTCATAATTATCTGAACCACGACTTATAAGTTTGACTCAAATTTGTAGACACCGGGCAATCCCTTTTTCACTCTTAATGGGTAGAGAGAAGCAAAATTCAGGTATTTTCATGTCAATGACTTACGATATATGCAATCCTTGTGAATGAAATTGGGTAGAGGGATATATTTGGAATCCGTCAATCGCTGTGCTAACAAAGTCGCCAAGATAGCTGAAAGGTCAAGTTAAATAACTTTTTATCATATATATTGTGTGTATATGTATGTATAATCTTAATCATTTCACCCCAATCAAGGCGGGAGTGCCACTTGTATGAAGGGGGTTACAGAGACGGAAAGTGAGGGGGAAAAACTGAGTATGGGGGTGAGGAAAGAATGATTGAAGAAAGGATAAAAGCTGAACGGGATTCAAGAGAACAAAAGATGGTGATTGACGTTGCATTGAAATTTTCTAACATTGTAGTTATCAGGGAATCAAGTAAACGGAAGTGAATTCCACACGCGGGAAGTACGAGAAATTAAACTATTGGAGTAGAAGTGGCGATTACATTTAACTATTTCGACAGTACAAGAGGTGGGACCTAGATGACCATCTAATATCACGCTTAAATTCATATAGTCGGGGCACCAGAAAAGTTCGTCAGAGCAGGTGCCATGAAGATATTTGTAGAAAAGACAGAGGGAAGCTATGTTACGTTGGTGAGAAAGTGACTGAAATGGAGATTCCAAGTCAGGATCGATTACATCGTAGATCCTTCTTTGGATTTTGTCAAGAATCGCAAGATGAAAATAACAAGAGCAACAGACCATATATTATATGGCAACAGTATTCAATGCACGGGAGAATGGTAGATTTTTAAATATGCAAAATGAACTCTAACGAGAAAAAAAGATTTCTGGGACGACACAGTGATCCAGCTTTTCTTGCAGTAGATGCAGCTATGTGTACGAATATTTGTTTTTAACCACTAATATATATATATATATATATATATATATATATATATATATAATAAAAAGGCTTAAACACTAATATTCCATGGTCATAATTTATTCCATTGGAATCTTAAATACGATCCAATTCATCAGACGTACAAATTCAAAAAGAAAACAGAAAAAACAACTCCGGAAATAAAAAATAAAATTTAGAGAGAGTGTAAGTATGAGAGTGTATGGACGAATGTTAGAACTATATATATATATATATATATATATATATATATAATGTGCATTTCTAAGATGAGGTATTGTAATTATTTACATCTTTCGGACTGTTGTTCCCATCTTTATTGCCATATTCACAACGTTTCGGCCGTTGTACGTTCCGGCCTTTTTCAGGTGATATTTCTTGTGATTTCACACATGACCCAGTATTTAGAATAATAATGAATTCGGTTCGAAATTTCAAGAAGGTCGGAGTGTACAATAGCCTAAACATCGTGAATATGGCAATAAAGATGAGGACAATACACCGAATAAAATAGTGTAAATAATATATATATATATAATATATAAAATTCATCTTGTCATAGTTGTTGCTTAGTAAAACAGCATCAAGAAAATTGATAGTTGGATAATGGCATTAATATAAAGATTTTGAGAATTCAAACAAGAAGGTTGAAGTAGCATAGAAATCAAATTGAAAAAGGCGGGAAATTCATGCAAGGATAATGGGAGGTGAGCTAGTGCAGAAAAAATGAACGACGATAAATGTAAACAAGAAAATTCCATTTTTTTTTTTCTTTCAAAAGAATTCCTTTGGAGAGAAAAAAAATAAGCAAGGAAAATGTCGCTGATAAAATGAACGAGAACAGAATCGGTTACGCCTGGAAAAACAAAAAAGAACGAAAATCGAAATGCCCCGAAATACACTCGCTGCTGAGTTTTACAAAACTGTACTGGAAAGTTCTCGGGTTTTTAGCACCATCTCGCAACACGCATATATATATATATATATATATATATATATATATATACCCAAATAAAATCATTGACATTTCTTTATTTTATGAACGGTACCAATAAAAAATAACTTAAAACTATCAAATAATTCAATCTAAATTTCTCAAAAAATGTTATGGAATAAATTCATTTTATCAAGAAATAAAATTAAATGTTCACTTATTTTGTTTTGTTTACGGCTACATCACATTGAAACACCGGTTTCCGTACGATCAGCAAAGTTAAGCAACATCGAGCCTGGTCAATACCTAGATGAGTGACCGTTTGGGAATACCAGGTGCTGTGACGTGTGGGTGGTATAATGTATAATACCTAGAAATTGTTAATTGGACAGCCGAGTTCGAATTTTCTTTGTGTTCGTTATATCCACTTACACGCCAATACCCTTTGGAAAGGTATAAATCCACCTTTTCTCCGACCCAGTTATGGGTCAATTAGTAAAACTTGTTCCAGTAAATCGTTATTATTTAAAAAAAGAAATTACAATCTGTTGTAATGTGGGGTCTGGCAACACAACACGTAACTCATCAGAGACAGTTGTGATAGTAATATTCAATTTTCAGCTAGACAAATCACTGCAATAGTATTATACTCTCATAGGCAATTACCCAGGACTTCTTATCATGAATGGATCAGTCCATTCGGGATAGTAAGGCGGGTTACTGGCTCTTACTACAACACTAGAATATTTTGTGGCATTAAATAAACTGCAAAGGGTAGATAAGCCGTAAAACTAATCGATCAAATCGAATTATTTTGCCTCTGTTCAGAGAAATGGGAAAGAAAAATGAAACCTTAAATAAGGAGAAAATAAATGAATATTAATTTATTATTTATTTATTACTTCACATTCTCTCTCTTGATACTGAACATTATAATTATAAAGATTACTTACTTTAAAAAATTTATCTCCAAAAAATAATTTGGTCGAACTTTTTTAATTTTCGAAACAAAACCTTTATTTGTTAGTAAATGAATTTTTAAAAATCTTTTGTAATAAGTAAACTTTTTATTATACTTGTGAGAGGCACCTCTCACGATTGACAATGAGTCGAACAGAATTCTCTGCTGTTATCTGCTTAGTAAAATACTAACATAAAATGAAACAAATCTTTTAATACATACTTGTGATTTTGTAAGCGTAGCTTAGATGGGTCACTAGGCTGAAAGTATGGGGCACCCAGTAAGGATCGAACTCACTGTTCAGTTGCAATTGATGTAGCGCGACAAACTTGCTAAACATTACACCACGTCAAAGTGCCCTTTTTGCTACATACTTATGCGAGAAAAGTATTTCAAAATCTTTTTTAAGAAATATTTTAAATTATTTTCATATATATGAGAGAGAGAGAAAGAGTCGCCCAGGTTAGCCACGTTTTGATTGCTTATTTTCTTTCCCCACCCCCTGAGGATGAGTGATATAAATGGGGTTTTCCTATTTTTTTTTTAAATTTAGTTTGTCAAAATTAAAAAAAAAAAAATTATGTAATGATTTTTTCAAATAGATTAATAAATCCAACAGATTTATCTTATCCCGGATGGGTGGATAACTCATTTCCTTAGAGTTTATATCAAAATTATTTTTATATTGAGAATATACATTTTTACAGCGGTATTCACGCTGTAAAAGGCCCGGGGGTCACTCGAGGTAGAGAGTTGCAGAGTAAGAGGCACAGATTATGCACATATATGGGAAGATAACGGTTAAACCTAGACATGAATCTGTTAAGATTATAGTGATCGGGGAAGCATCCTCTTGGGAGTCGGTTCCACAAGGCAGTAGTACGCAGAAAGAAGCTGCTTGAGTGGAACTTACATCTCCCCCACAGGAATATGGAGGGAATGAATGTGTTTCGCTAAAATGAGCGTGGCATGAATAATTTTTGTATTCGTTTATCAAATTTATTATTTAGAATTTCAATTACATTTTGTCTATTTATATATTCGCCATTATTTGCAATGACCTGTTGCCATCTTTCAAGCAGCTTCTCAACAACATTTGCGTGAAATTCCGCAGATTTTGTCGGGAAACATTTTCGACAAATTCTTGAATCTGGTTTTCATTAAATAAAGTTTTCCCCATCAAAATATTTTCCAGCGATCGAAACCTGTAATAATCAGTTGGGGCAGGGGCAGGTGGATAGGGTTCAAAAAGAGTTCAAAGTTGTTGTTTTTTTCTCTGTATTTTTTCTCTGTATTATTATTGCCGTATGCAGTCTTGTCATGGAGGGGAAACAAGTTTTTTTCTGTTACCATCTAAGGGCATGTTTCAAGTTAAATGAGCATGTTGCAATTGCTGGACGTATAAATGTGCATTTAGAGTGTCATTGTATTTTAAGAATTCTAAATACCCCAACAATTCTATCACATGCAAAATATACTTTTTTTGGGGGGGGGTCGATTGTGGAGGTTTATCCTTGTTTATTCAGTGCCTTTTGCTTAAAACAATGACGTGCATAACCCATTTTTCATCACCTGTTATGACATATTTAAGGAATGCTTAGTTAGAATTATGCACTCCTCAAAACGGATCCATCTCCTCCACCCACACCAGCTATGGATTAAATAGTAGGATTTGCATCTGGATAAATCATTTAACTTAAAAAAAAACATTATTAATTTAATATTCACTTGCAAAAAAACATATACAGGGATGCTCAATTGTCTGAAGACATTTGCATGAATTTAGTACAAGACGCATAAGCCACCTGAGAAGAGCCGTATTTGAGAAAGAAATTGTCATGGATAATTTTGAGATTCTTCTTGACGTATCTTCCTAATCAACCTCTTTGTAGCATCGATGACTGCTTTCATACGAGGTCTGAATCGTTGACATGCACAGATTAGATGATCTTTATCTATTTTGAACGTTGTGTTATGATGGATTTCAGAGATTTTATGGTGTCATAGGGGCGTTGATTAGTTTACTACTCCATTACACTCCATACGTTGTGGTCCAACAGATTCAGATCTGGAGCACTAGGAGGCCATATGTTTGGGGTGAAGTGACTGTGGAGTTTGTAACATCCATCCTTGGGTCGTATTGGCCTTACTAGACGGCACAGTCTTGTTGGTACGATCTTTTTTTGCTTATTCTCTCTATCCAAGGCCTCACAACCTTCTCCAACACCTCCCTATAGGTACCAGCATTGACCCATAAGCCCTTCGGAAAGAGGATAGGAAGCATAACTGCTTCCCAGAATTATCACAGTTGCAGGAAACATTGTGCGCATGACCGTTGGAACGTCTCTGCACAACTATGTGGTGAATGCGAAATAAAAATTAATTCTCTTTTCTTCACTGTTTTAAATTCGCGAGCCTATGCAAAAATATTTTTGACCAATAGAAAAAGGAATTGGCTCCGGACTGAAGAAAAGACCAATCAAAGTTTAACGAGCCTATGTGAAAATTTATTTTGACCAATGGAAAAGCTAGCGGCTTACAAACTGAAAAAAAATTAATGAGCCGATGTCAAATCGCCTTTTTGATATAAATAGGCAGAGATGTTAATGGCAGAAAGAGAAAATGCAGAAAGTAGCAGAGTTCCATGTGACTGAATAACTCCAGTGTCAAATTACACGCTGATACATTAACAGCCTTTAATGAGAGCAGGGCAATTTCAAAGAACTCTATTCTACTCCAAAAGGTAAGTACCTTAAAATATATCTTTTTATTAATGTTGAATACAACCGTATAACTTATGTAAAAAACGAACTCTCTCAATATGTTTTAAACATTTTGGAATATTACTTTGTGCCCGATTTAATAGGATTCATTTTCTCTTCTTGACAGTTCATCAAAACTACGAACTTTAAATATTTAATTCCTTTTCCTGAAAGAAGCTACTTACAACTGTAAATAAATTTCTTATACTGTTTTGTTAAATATAACACGTGTGTTTCCTCGTCATTTTACCTCAATACTTCAATCAATTGTCATTCTTTTGGTTGACCTTTTGTTCCTGATCAACGATTTTCTTAGAGAAAAATCAAGGCATCCCAACCTTTTGATGTTTCAACGTTCACAACAAGCGCCTTGCGCGAGCCAGACGGCCATCTTTTGGCTTTACAGAGTTGGCCTCTCCACATCACATATGACTTGTATCGAAGATTTTCATGCACAATTCTTCCGATCGAGTACCTTGAAAATCTGAGCAATGGCATTAATTGATCTGGGGTGTTCTTATCGATAATTCCCTGCACTTTTCGTACAAATTTGGATTTTCTGGTGATATTAGGGCCCTTATTAGACGTTTTACGTTTGGCTATTTGTTGAATCCCGATCAGTGGCAACTGGCTCTTTGCGAACTTTGACAACAAACGATCACTAGATTCTGCTTTTAAGACAATGATTACAGTGCACCTTTTCATTTGCTAGCGATGTTGATGCATGTTGTCATTTATTTGAAAATAAATGATTATCAGTATAAGTTAGAAAAAAGGTATTAAATACGTGTCCTCAAAGAAGTGAGCAACCTTGTATTCTTACAATCAAAAATGTTTTTACTTTAAAAAAAAAACCCAGTAAGTGCTGATAAGACGTAAAAAAACAAATTAATCAATTATCAGTCTAAAACAGAAATTACTCATGATTCAGTAAATAAATAAATACAAGGATACTACTCTGTAATTAACCAAACTCTAACTATATTTAAAATCTAAAGCAAGCTTTACTTTGGGGCTTAATCAGCAGGAGGCTTGTGTTGATTTATTTCTTTAACATAGAGCATTAGTCGGGATCTAACCTCGACTGCCAAATCTTCTGCAGCTAATGAGAGAATACCGTTAGCCTTTTCCGCGTGGAGACTTGCAGGGTCCAGAAGTGCAAAATCCTCCTAAATTTACGAAACCAAACCCTCCTAAATCTTCACGAAGCTAAACATATCTATATATATATATATATATATATAATCAGCTAATTGACAAATGTTATTTGTATTTTATATATATATATATATATATATATATATATATATATATAGTTAGACGCAAACAAACCAACAGAGATAGATGGGAAAAGTATATTGAAGGCCTTACATGAAACTGCGATTGAAACATTTACTGCGAAAGTCGTTCCGATTCCTATCAACATAATCCTGTTTTTCAGAAAGTAAATACGTTTCCGTGTCGACATGCGAGTCTCGTATTTACTCTGTCTTTATCTTTATGCGAGGACAAGTCTTTTAGACCAAGATTTAATGCTGTACAAATTTTCAGCTTAATTGCTAGGATTTATCAAACAGGCCAGAGCCGGACATTTGCATTCAGATCAACAAAACCATACA